ATATAGATATAGATATAGATATAGATATAGATATAGATATAGATATAGATATAGATATAGATATAGATATAGATATAGATATAGATATAGATATAGATATAGATATAGATATAGATATAGATATAGATATAGATATAGATATAGATATAGATATAGATATAGATATAGATATAGATATAGATATAGATATAGATATAGATATAGATATAGATATAGATATAGATATAGATATAGATATAGATATAGATATAGATATAGATATAGATATAGATATAGATATAGATATAGATATAGATATAGATATAGATATAGATATAGATATAGATATAGATATAGATATAGATATAGATATAGATATAGATATAGATATAGATATAGATATAGATATAGATATAGATATAGATATAGATATAGATATAGATATAGATATAGATATAGATATAGATATAGATATAGATATAGATATAGATATAGATATAGATATAGATATAGATATAGATATAGATATAGATATAGATATAGATATAGATATAGATATAGATATAGATATAGATATAGATATAGATATAGATATAGATATAGATATAGATATAGATATAGATATAGATATAGATATAGATATAGATATAGATATAGATATAGATATAGATATAGATATAGATATAGATATAGATATAGATATAGATATAGATATAGATATAGATATAGATATAGATATAGATATAGATATAGATATAGATATAGATATAGATATAGATATAGATATAGATATAGATATAGATAAATACAGATACATTGTCATAGATACTGTTATGCACAAATTGACTCAGATATAGATACATTTCCATAGAGACAGATACATTGTTGTAGATACAGATACAGCTGAAAGCTGAACGTGGCGGTAATTTTGGTGTGTTTTTTTTTTTTTTTTTTTTTTTTTTTTTTGGCGCAAATAAACACGATTTGGCACTTGAGCCTCCTCCATGTGAATCGCTATGGCTTTGGCTTTGCTTCTTCAGCGGCTCGTTTCGAATCGTCATGAATCGAATAGCATTTTAGTTATTTAAATATGCTTTGGATATGTGAACTATTGAGGGTATAGTGAATTGAACATTTGAAAGGCGTATGAAGACTGAAATTCCTAAAAGATGCAAGTCTATCTATGTATCTATATATAATATAGACATTTATCTATCTGTATCTGTATCTATACAGAGAGTCTGATTTCTAACAAAATGGTATGTCTATGTATTTACATATGGTATATCTATATCTATCTGCATCTCTATTCGTATAAGTCTAGTCACAAGTATCTGTATCTCTAGAGATACACCTAGATTTAGATCGATGTGTCTATAAAAGTGCTTTCCATAAGAATTGTATCTATCTATCTATATTCGTATGTGCCGTTACCAATGTATCTGTAAGTATCTATCCTTATCTAAAATTGCATTCAGTATCTATATCTATTTTCAAATCTTTGTTTAGATTTATCTATAGCTAGCTTTATATCAGTCGGATTTCTATTCCACTCTACGCGCAGATCTCAGAGCTATATCATAACGATTCAGTTTTTTTGAAGAGCATTCGGGCGTCGAAGCATAGCCCCATTTTTCTAGTTCATCATTTGATTCGATTTATTTATTCATTTATTTTTTTTATTATTATTTTTGTTTTGTTTTGTTTTGATTTTGATTTTTTGGCTATTTTTAGCTGCTTTCACTGCTCGATGTCGACGACTGCTAATTATGCAGCGCACATTCATTGAGATTCCGATTCGGACTCAGATTCAGATTGAGATTCGAGTATTCATCAACAAATATTCATTTGAAGTGGGCACTCAACGATTTGAGCACGTTGGCCAAACAGTTGCCGACCTGTTCGATTTGTTGCCAATGATTGATTGAATGAATGAGTAAGTGTGTGAGTGTATTCACCTGATAGTCAATATTCGCTAGACAGCGCTTCGTAATTTACATTTGGATTTCACAGTGAACTCAGTCAACATTCATTCGATTCAGTAAAATGTATTCATTACATAAGAGTGAATGCTTGTATGAGTGTATTCATTGTATTCACAGTCCAAAAGGTTTTTACCAAAAACTTTTTAGAGAATTGCCTTAAAATTTTTAATTATTGTCAATGTATTCATTATATTCACACTTATTCACACTGGATTCCAATACGCTGACTATGGCGCTCGAATCTATTCATATGAATCTTCGGATGTATATGAAACGTTTTTTAATTTTATGCAAGTTTAACGAATCAAGTGAATGTATTCATTATATTTGAATGTATTCACTTAATATACACATTATTAATTAATTAATAGCTACTTTTATAGATTATGCTGAACGTGACTAATAGGGTATATGAATAAATCCAATTCGGATTCACAATATATTCACATTTTTAATCGCAGAGCTTTTGCGTGCGAAAAATATCTTGAAATTAGTCGGATCTACGACGAATGCATTCGTGTTGGGCAATTGAAACCTGTACCAGGCAATGCCCAGCTGTTGTTCACTTGACCCGCAATACAAACACACACACACACACACTCACACACTCATACAGACACACACACAGAGCAAGAGCTACTTTGCTGTGCGCTGAGAGCTCACGATGCGACTTTTTGTTTCGGCTCCACTTTGGAGCAGCGGAAGGCCGAGCTGCGAGGAGGGGGCGTGGCAGCACGCTTTGTGTGGTCGCGATTAGAAGCATGTACAAATGCGAGAGAGTGTTTAGCTGTAAATTTGCGTGAGCCTCAGCAACGAGGAGCCAAGCAGCGCAGCGTTGCTCGGCTCGGCTCGCCTCGTGTCGACCCATATCAGCTATTGTTTAGCCTTAATCAGTTTATAAATACTTCGTCACTTGCATTTCTATAGAGCTGTGCGTTTTCACATTTACACATTCAGCTCAGACACACACACACACACCAGCACACACACACATGCAAGTACACACAATTCCTTACAGAATACAGAATTTCGCGCAATATCGAATTTCACAATTTCAAAATTCTTGGTAAATCAACAAGCGGCAGCGGCTGCTGATTGCCGTTGACATGCCACAGCGGTTACTAAGCGGCGAGCGAGGCAAGAGGGCATGCCAGCAGGCAGCAGGCTGTAGGGGGCAGAGAGGGGGTGGCCAAGGCACTTGGAGGGAGCTGACGGGCTAAGGAGTCTGGTAACGAGGCGAAAGCTAATAAATGTAGTTTCCAGTTTGATGTGTGCTGATTGTTGACATCCTCCGCTTCACTCGCCACTCGCTTGGCGTAGGGTTCACACACACACACACACACATGCAGAGAAACACACAGACACACATACATGCATATACTCCTGTGTATTGCTTCAGTTGAAATCTCTCTCCCTGTCTTCCCTTCTCTCTCCCTCTGTCCCTTTCGCTTATTGTGCTTGCAGCATTTTATGCGCTAACAATGAGCTTTATAAATTTCTTATGCATTATGTAATGCAGAGCATAAGTTGACCTATGAAGTATATGCATAAATACATATATGTATATAGATATATGAAATATATTTATAATCCATCAGTTCTTTATAGGCAAGCGAACCTAGTTTCTATTCTCTCTCTCTCTCTCACTCTCCCTCTCTCTGTCCCTCTCTCTCCCTCTCTCTCTATAAAGCCTTGATTGAACTGTTCTATTATATCAACAATAAATTTATCGCTCGAGTATTTACATTTAAAAGATTTCCTATTACACTAATCAAAGTTCAGGGCATTGTTTGTATATTGAAATATTATATCTGTAAAATTCCAACAATGCCCAGCAATTGCCAACAACTACAATATCGTATGACTCTCTGGCACGTATGCAGCTCATGCATCGTACAATAAATATTTACATGTCGAGGGTATTTGCGGTTCGCATAGCTCACGCGTGCTGCAGCCCCTCCCTTAGCCCTACCGTAGTACCCGCCGAGTGCCGTTTGTTCTCTGCAACCCCTTATGGGCCAGCCGAACAGTCGAACAGCCGAACAGCCGAACAACTGATGAACAACTGATGAACGCCTTGAAACAATGAAACATCGAGCAGAAATTAGCGCGGTTGTCTGTCAAATTTGATTTTGCTTTGATATGTCACTCCGAGGAGCGATCCCTCGACCCTCGCTCCAACCCAGCAACCCCCCCATTCTCTGCTGCCGTCTATCCGAACGCCATAACATTGCGAGCTCAGCTCAAGCTGAATGTGCTCCGAGTCTGGTGGGGCACAAAATGAGGCGCGGTCAGGGTCAGATCGTTGGAGCCGACCGCTTGTATAAGGCTAATAAATGCGACGACCGTCTCATATAGAAAAGGAAAAGCAAACGAAATCAACTGACTGCGGAATACTCTGCTCGCAATTCAATTAAAGCCCTCATTCAAATCTCAAAACATTTTTAAATGACAGTAAAATGGATTTTCAATATACATATATAATTATATAATTGATAAGTAAGATCGATAACGATAAACGTGGATTAGATACTACGCGCAGATATTGTTGCGTACTACACTATCGATGTTCATGTATATATATACATATATATATCGATAAGAAGCTCAGATTTAGTACTACTTGCAGAAATTGTTGCGTACCACATAAAGTATATTTTTGATCGATATCCATCTATCGATCGATGACCGATAAGTAAATTCAAGTCCAATATATCCTAATTTTTATATAGACAGCTCTTTCCTTAATTATCTTCGATACATTTGTATCGATTCCAAAACAAAACATATATCGACAGTATCTAGTGATAGCTATCGATTAAAGTTTATTCTGTTATTGTTTAGATTGATTATAATATCCATAAACACATTTGGTACACCGATAACTAAACGTATGGCATGTTATCGATAACAAATGCATATATATGTAGCTTCAATTGGCTATGATTGCATTCAATATCAAACCTTATCCACTCGACTAACTTTTCCTTTATGTACAATTGTTTGAAGTCTCCTTTACATTCGTTTCATTCGCAGGATTTCCGCAGCTGAAGAATTTCGCTGGCACCGGAACATGTTTAACGGGTAAGCGAAACTTGAATTAAAATCTAATTAGGAAATATTAAAGGAAGCGCCTAAAGGTAGGCAATGAACGGATTGTCAAGTCGAGTCCTGGCAAAGCTTTGCCACAAGAACTGACCCACAGAGGGCAGCAGCAACTCCTTCTCTCTCTCTCTCACTCTCTTTCACTCTCGTTCTTTCACTGACACACGCACACACATTTCCGTTAGTCTAGCTGCACGCTAATTAATGGGCATTCCGGCGCTTCATTTCGTGTTGAGAGCTCCTGGCGAACTCATAAATCTTCCAAATTGCTAATAAAATAAACAATTTAGCTTAAAACAAGCAACAACAAAACACAAGAGAGAGAGAGAAAAAAACTAACATACACACACTCCCAGGCACATATGTGCGTGCGTGTGTGTGTGGCTGAAGTCAACTAATGAAATTTTCATTTCCATTTTCATTTTCATTTTGTTGCATTCGCAACGGGCAATAAATATTTTCAACATACGTTTTTATACGCAATTTACACGCACATACATCTCGCACACAGCCTCCACACATCCTTGACGCAAGCACATGACATCCCTGTCCCCGTTTATGTGTAAGTGTGCGTGTGTGTGTGAGTGTGTGTGTGCTTTAACCCTTTCGGCACACACATGCCCGAAAACAAACGAAAGGCAAATAACAAAAACAAAAACAAAACAAAAGTGAAAGAAATTGCGAGGCGCACGTAAACTTATCCAATAAGAGGCGCACACAAAATCCAATTGGAACAAAGGGTTGCCAGAGCTGGCGTGCAAGTCCATGTAGTGGAGTGTAGTGTGTAAATTGAATTGTTTGTCTTAGCAGATGCAATCAAGTGGAACGGGCCGAGGAACGTCTGCAGCTAATTCAATTTGAAAGCAGCGCATTCCGATACATATTCGATTATCGATAAATGGGGATTGAGAATCTCCAATCAATATGAAATAGATAAAGTAATATATTGATAAGAGTGAATCAAAGAGCGAACGTCTGTTGTCATAATCAAACTAATATTAGATCGATAGCACAATAACATAAACGATAACAATCGATAGCGTATATTTATAACAATTAATTACTTTCAACTTTTTGATGGTTTGTTCAAGCTATGAGCTTATTAATGTATTGATCATAAAAGTTAATATGAGCTATTGATATAACAGTATTAATATTAAAACCGATATTAATCGATAACATATATTGAAAGCAAACATTAATCTTTGATGTTTAATAATTAAATTTAGCTGAAATTAATCGAATACGAAAGAAACCCATATGAGTATATCGATAGATCGATAACAGGTATTGCTGGGCAATGATATCGGTAGGATTTCATTTAGCATTAAATTGTCAATGACTTCTAGAATATACCAAAATGAATCTCTGTAATTATCGTTAGCTCTCGACATTAACTACTTACAGCTATCGATAACTTTAGCCAATATATCGCTTATCGAGGACTCTTGCTTCAAGACTCTGCTAAGGCCAGTTCCAACCAGCTCAACTAGCTGTTGCTATTGCTCTCTGGGCCTGGTTAATTGCCATTTTGTGTTGCCTCGCGCACTTGTCTCTAATCTCTAATCTCTGGTTAGCACGAACTTTGCCACTTGCCAGCGCATTCTTGGCAATTCTGTTTTGTTTTCCATTTTTTTATACCCCTCCTCCACGTTTTTTTTTTTTTTTTTTATGCAGGCCAGAAGTGCGCTGCTTAAGTATTTTAGTAGCAGCCACTTGACGTTCGCATTCTTCACTTGCAACAACAACAACAACAGCAACGGCAAGAAGAATAAGAAGAAGACGAAGTAGCAGTAGAAGAGGAAGAAAAGCAGCCACTTTTGAGCCATTTGCGAGCGGATAGCAAGACGAGCTCCACACAAAGGCGTCAAGTGGGGCAATTTCCCTTGTGTCTCTACTCTTCACTCGGCTTAAGCAGCAACCAGCGAGAGAGAGAGAGAGAGAGAGAGAGTGGTGGCTTAGAGAGAATGCAGTGCGCCACGCTCCATCTCTTCTCCACTCTCTTGTCGGCCTTGCCTTGTCTTGTCTTGCCTGATGATGCACTTGTCCCGGCTAAGATTTTAATTGGCATTTTTTTTGTGCAGCCCCCTCCCGCCCCCGGCAGCACCATCTCCCCACGGCTGGCTGTAACCCTTGCCTGGCCGCGCTGCTCAGCCCTGTGCAGCCTTCGAGCGTGTCTAAGTTTTATTTGCTGGCCATGGCGAATGCATTTGCGGAGCTGGCAGCCCACGGCCTCTGCTTTGCGCTTAATTGAAACAAACACATGCAACGCACACACACACACACACACACTCATATTCACACATGGTCACACTCACATACGCTTGGCACACGTGGAACCAATCGCATTTCGCATCGCACACCAGTTGAGTGAATCTTTGAATTGTTTATGAGCGTCGCCAGTGGGGAAAGGGGTAAACGTGTTGACAACTTCCTCCTCCTCTTCTTCTTCTTTTTCTCCTTCGCCATCCTCTGTTGGCTGACAACCTGTGGAGGGGTTGCATCTATTTATTAATATTATCGAAATGGAAGGCAATAATGAGAGTCACTAAATGAGAGTAATCAAGGGGACGTAGGAGATTCCAATAGGAGTACTTGTTCGTTCTAGTTCGGGACAATGAGCTGACTTGACAGAGATCGTCAGCTCATGCCTTCCATCTGTTCGTACATCTTTCCTGCCGTTCGTTTGACGTGCTCCAATCCCCAATCCGTCTGTTCGTCATTCCAGCTGAATTTCCGCCTTTATATCCGTTCACATGCATGTACGTCCCATATCTTTCTTGGTCCATCTGAGCATACGCCTAGTTGTGCGTCTCTACATCCACCTTTGCATGTGTATTTTCATTCTTCCATCCAAACGTCCCTCCATCTATGTTCTCGTTTCTCAGTGATCCGTGCGTCTGTATGTTTATCCGTTCGTCCGTCCTTCTATCAGTCCATGCGTCTGTTCGCTCATCTATCTATATGTACATCCATCCACCCGTCTATCCATCTGGCAGTCTGTCCGTCCGTCCATCCGTCTATCCATCTATCCATTTATCCACCCGTCTATCCGTCTGTCCATCCATCTATCCGTCTGTTCATCCGTCTACCCGTCTGTCCATCTGTCTATCCGTCCATCCGTCTATCCATCTATCCGTCTACCTGTCTATCCGTATGTCCGTCCGTCCACCCGTCTATCCGTATGTCCGTCCGTCCACCCGTCGATACGTTTGTCCGTCCGTCCACCCGTCTATCCGTCTGTCCATCTGTCTATCCGTCTGTCCATCTGTCTATCCGTCTAGCCGGCTATCAGTCCATCCGTCCGTCCGTCCGTCCATCCGTCTATCCATCTATCCGTCCACCCGTCTATCCGTATATCCGTCCGTCCACCCGTCTATACGTTTGTCCGTCCGTCCACCCGTCTATACGTTTGTCCGTTCGTCCACCCGTCTATCCGTCCGCCCGTCCGTCTATTAATTTGCCCGTTCGTCTACCTGCCCCTCCGCCTATCCGACCATCTGCTTCTCTATCCATGTATTAATCTATCCGTCTGTCTACCATAGCGCCCGTTCCTTCGTTCTGTCCGTCTCTCTATCCATATATACATACATGTATTCGCTGTCTTACACTTGCGACTGTTCAGGATAATCGCCAGTTCGGCAGGATAATCGCTATTCATATTTGAGTTATGTTTTTGGATTGACTTCATTCACAACTTCTTCAGGCACATTTCCCCTCTCTCCATTGCCAGCTCACTTTGTGGCTCACTCACAAAAAAAAATAGAAAGAATGTTGAGACATCCAACTGATTCACTTAAGTAAATGAATTAGTTACAAATACATTCGTAATCGTGTTCAAATTGAGCAACTGAGTGTGTTAATGAATCAATTGCCTTTGATGGCTTATTTGGCTGTTCAGCTAATGGCCCATTTGAGTTGGCAGCGCTTGGCAGGTGCACTAACCAATTGCCACGCCCACACCGCCCACTGATCCACCTCTGTGTGTGTGTGTGTGTGTGTGTGCTGTGCTCCATGTCCGGATGTTCAGATGTTTCGTTGCCCGCATCCGTGTTATTTCCTGCACTCGTTACCGTTTGAGGAGATTTCACTAAACCGAAACCTGAGCGCACACGACACACACACACACACACATACACAGAGCCACACTCACACACACAGGCACACATGGTGTTAGTAAAAAGTGAAAGAGCAAAAAGTTTAGTGCAAAAATTGCGCTCTCCTCTTGGCCCTTCCCTGCTGTAAAATGCTTTGCACTTAAAGTTCGTTGGGTTCGCGTTGAGTCGTTGAAGCGGAAAGGTGGCTTAAAACAATTGGTAGTTGAGGTGGGGTGCAGCAGCTCTGGTGGAGAGTGGGCGAAGGGGGGGCAAAGGGCCAACAGCAATCACGTTAACCAACTTTGACACAAAGGCAACGGCTAAAACGCTTCAGCCGTGGGGCATGCGCCAAAGCGGGATGGCAAAGGACTTTGAATATGATGGAGTGAGGGGTCAAAGCACAGCCAGCGTGACGGTGAGAGAGAGAGGGGGGGCGGTAGGGTAACAGCATAACAATGGCCGACAACGACAGCGACGACGACGAAGACAAAGTCACACGGCAAGCAAGGAATCTAATTAACAATTTTCCATTGAGTGCGCAAATTACGACGAACACCCAAGCAGACCAAAACGGCAAAGAGTGGGAGGAGGGAGGCACGCAGCGAGAGAAGAGAGAGAGAGAGAGAACAAGTTCAGTTGAAGGCGGGCAGCGAAGCTATGCATGGCAATTGAGGAAATGAGAAAATTACGTCAGACAACAGAATTTATGCATATCGATTCTATTTTGGGCTTATTTTTTGGGTTCCGCGATGTTCGAAGAGGGGAGTGCGGAGCGGTATATGGTATGGTATGGTATGAGTTGGATATGCGTGGTATAAGTGCGGTGCAGCAGATTGAATAGGTAAGAATACCAACTGAATCTCATTTGATTAACCTTTAGAG